GGGGCGCGCGACAGGAGTAGGGCAGCGGAAGCAGCAATAGGGCCCACAGGCCGGGAGCGTGAGTGCTCTGAAACCATGAGAAAGTAGTAGCTAGAATCAGGAGCCATAGCTAGGAAAGCCCTAGCTAGGCAAGAGAGAGTTTAGGCAAAGAGGGTTTTCACTAGCAGCAAAGAGGATACATATAGCAAACCCTAGATGGGTTGTACTCACTATAGAGCACCCCACTATAGGCTAGAGAATAACATTCTGACACACTTTTATGCGTCCCTTAAGTGGCACGTGATGGCAACGCATGCATCACCCCCAAAGTTGGCCGAATTTATTGAATATACCACTTAGGTGGTTGCTACACTGTTTGTACATGTTACAGGGGGCATAAACAAATTGTCAATTTGTTTGATTTAGATGACACCCAAAACATTTTTTTCTAATGTATAAGGTAAGACATGCATGTCTTATGTCCGGATGGTGACGATATTCATGGCAAATGGTACCCCTAATGAGAAGAAGAAGAAGTAAACGAGAGAATGAGTGAACTATGAACGAAGTGAGTACAAATAGGAAACCCTAACTGGGTTGTACCCCCTATGGGATACCCCACTATAGCATACATAAATAAGTAAGCTATAATGTTCTGACACACCCCCATAGGCAAAGTGGGGGAGAACAAGGGGTCACAAGACCAGTCAAGCAAAGCAAAGCAAAGCTCAGGGTGGATCACAAAGTCACCACACATTCCGAGCACAAGTTCAAAAGGCCAGAAGGCCAGTTCACATGCAAGATCATATATAAAGATATACAAGAGTCAAGCAAGTAAGAGCAAGAGTATATATAGGTGAAGGTACAAGCAAGGTCAAGAAGTGAGCAAGTGAGGCAAGACAGACACAAGACCCAACTGCGTGCAACAACGCTGATGATCACAAGGCGCAAGTGCCTTAGTGAAGACATCAGCAGTGTTGGCCTCAGAGGCCACGTACGCAAGTCGCAACTGTCCACGCTGCTGCAGCTCACGAGCAAGAAAGTAGCGGAGGGCAATGTGCTTCGTTCTGTGCTCCAGTCGCTGCTCTCGACACAAGGCCAGCATGGCCTTGTTGTCTACGTACAGGACTGGAGGAGAACGAGGCTGCTCTCCAAGGTCGGTCAGCAGGTAGGTGAGCCAGCGTAACTCCTGTGCAGCCATAGCCCCAGCGTAGATCTCAGCCTCACAACTGGAGCCCAGAACAGAAGACGAGCGAGTAGCCCGCCACGAAACAGAGCCGGAACCAAGGCTGAAGGTGTAACCCCGTGACGACCGCTGCTTAGCCTGGTCGTCAGCCCAGGAAGCGTCTGCGTGCCCAGTGAGGACCACTGGACTGCGCCCTCCAAGCACTAGCCCCATGCCCGACGTACTGCACAAGTAGCGCAACACCCTCTTCGCTGCAACCATGTGCTCTGGTCGGTGTCTCCCAGGAGCAACATAGCGTGCTAGAATGCTAAGAGGGTATGCAAGGTCAGGACGTGTGCAGGTCATCAGGTACATGAGGCAGCCAACAAGCTCTGCAAACGGGCCACTCGACTCTACGGACTCATCCGAAGGCAGAGCTGAGAGCGAGTGGCGAGTAGGCAGAGGAGTGGCCTGAGGCGAGGAGTACGTGAAGCCGAAGCGCTGAAGGACCTGCTGCACCATGTGTGACTGAGTCAGGGTAATGGTGCGGCGCGCTCTGTCCCGGGTGATCTGCAAGCCAAGGTAGCTACGCAGTTCACCCAGGTCAGTGCACGTATGTCTCTTCTGCAGCTCGGACTTCACGTAGGCGAGTCCAGCAGTGTCAGCTGTGGCAAAGACCAAGTCGTCGACGTACACGAGGATGTAGAACGGCGGCAGAGAGGTGTCAGTGCGCAGAAACAGCGACGGGTCGGCAGTAGACGGAGCAAACCCAAGTGCCGCGAGCGTAGTCCTCAGTGTGTCGTGCCACTCACGTGGCGCCTGGCGGAGACCGTAGAGTGGACGCCGGAGACTCCACTGGGTACCAGGAGGGAAAGACCCAGTGAAGCCAGGTGGGCGGCGCAGCCAGATCTCCTCGTGCAGGCTGCCCTGCAAGAAAGCTGTGCTGAAGTCGAGAGAGTGCAGCTCGTAGTCACGGTGAGCAGCAACGTGCAGCAGAACCCGAAGAGTGGTCATCTTCGGGGTGGGGGAGAAGGTCTGAAAGTAGTCAACCCCCTGCCGCTGACTGAAGCCACGAGCCACGTAACGTGCCTTGAAGACAGGCGGAGAACCCGGCGGCCGCTTCACCCTGAAAATCCACATGCCACTGACGATGTTCGCCCCAGGAGGGGGGACAGCGTCGACGTAGGTGCCTGTGGACTTCCAGGAAGCCATCTCTGCATCCATAGCTGCCTGCCTCTGAGAGGAGTAGGGACCCTCTATCGCCTCCGCGTAAGAGCGCGGAGTCGGGATGTCTGGTGCATCCGGGTCTCCCTCAGGGGCTAGCAGTACAGACGCGAGATGGGGTGAAGCGGCGGCCAGACACTGGAACTCCTCCTGCCTGTCCTCAAGGACGTCCGTGCCGAGGGCACACTCACCCTCGACGGACGGAGGACAGGCAGACTCAGACTCAGCGACAAGACTGGCAGCGTAGTCTAGACGACAGCGCGCAGCAAAGTCGACAAGCTCAGTGACAAGGGCAGACGCAGCAGACGACTCGAAGGAAGGGTCAGTGACAGCAGTAGCAAGGAGACGCGTGACAGTAGGACTGGCAGCACGAAGAGAGTCCGACTCCGGGTCGGCAAGAGCAGGAAGAGAGGAAGCAGGAGGAGAAGGCAAAGGGGCACGCAGAGGAGCAGTGGACGGACGCAGTGACATCCGGTGCGTGCCAGGGACAGGAGGAGGACGCTGACGCGACCCGCGACCACCAGCGCGCTCAGTACGAACAGGCGACGCAGGACGAGACGCAGGCTCACGACGCTCAGTAAGACCTCCAGTCGGACCAGCGTAGGGAGAAGGAGCAGGCAAAGGGGAGGCAGGCTGTAGCTGTGGCTGTGACCGGACAGGCTGCGGACCCTCTAAGAGAGGAGGAGAAAGTGGAAGACCAAGAACCTGCTGCAGGAGCGGAACGAAGTACGGTCGGGGCCGCGCGGCGACGCCAGAAACAGCAGGAACAGCACCAGCACCCTCGCCAGGAGCACCCACTCCAGTAGCACCTCCAGCAGCACCACCAGAAGCTCCAGAACCTCCAGCAGCAGCACCAGGAGCACTGTCAGTTGGACCGCCAGCAGCAGGCTCAGCGCCAACACCCTCAGCAGCACCAGCTCCAGGAGAACTCGCAGACCCAGCAGCTCCAGCACCCACAGGACGAGCACCGCCGGGACGCGCGGCAGTAGTGCCCTCTGCAGCCGAAGAACCACCAGCACCAGCAGCACGCCTCCAGCGCCTGGCAAACCACTCACGCAGCTCCTGGGGGGAGAGTGGCTCCCGGCGAGACGAAGCACCCCTAGGCTCAGCACCCCTAGGCACAGCACTCCCAGGCACCGCACCCCCAGGCTCAGCACCTCCAGACTCCGCACCCCCAGGCTCAGCTCCCGCAGCAGCACCAGAGTCACCAGTGACCTCGACAGGCTCGACCGCGTCTACCTGGGACACACCTGAAGGGGCAGGACCCTGAGGGGGGAGGGGGACTACTGGGGGGGGACCTGGTACCAAGAAGAGCGGGGGTGGGGGGAGGGACGGAGTGCGGTAGGGGAAGAGGCGGTAGTAGGGCACCGACTCGTCGAACGTGACGTCCTGGGATGACAGAACACGTCGAGAGGTGGGGTGGTAGAACTGCCACCCAGGGGCGTCGGGGGGGAACCCCAGGAAGACGCAGGGAGCAGCGCGAGGGGACAGCTTGTCCGCAGACAAGTCGCGGACAAACGCCCGAGATCCCCAGACCCGGAACGCCGACGCATCGCCAACCTTCCCCGTCCACAGCAGGGCTGGGGAGGTCTCCGGCCTGGAGACCCTGGGGTGGAGGTTGATCTGATGCGCTGCGTGCCTGACCGCAAACGGCCACAGAAAATGGGGGGCAGCCGCATGCATCATGGACGTACGGGCGACGTCCATGACCATGCCAATGCGGCGCTCAGCAATCCCATTTTGCTGTGGGGAGTCCGGAAGCGTGAAGGACTGGCGGATGCCTCGCGCCCGACAGTAGGCACGTAGAAGGCCAGAGGAGAACTCTCCGCCTCTGTCAGAGTGCAGACGCAACACAGGAAAGTCGGAGCCAAAGCTCTGCCTGAGCTGAAGACGAGCTGCGCGGATCCAGTCGATCAGCACCTCAGTAACCTCACCCTTGCTGCGCAAGGGGAAGACTGTGGTGTAACGCGAGTAGTCGTCAACAACGAGCAGGAAGTAGCGCTCCTGACCCTGTCCACGGACGCGGGCTGGGCCCCACACGTCCATGTGAAGCGTCTGCAGCGGGGCCTCTGTCGGAGGAAACTGGGAGGAGTGAGGGGCAGCACGCTGGCGCCCCTCGACACAGGGGACACAGGCAGGGCCAGGGCCCTGAGGAAGGGGAGGTAGAGACCGGGGGAGACCAGACACAAGAAGACGGGAGGCCATGCCTCTGAGCCGAAGCAGAGAGGGGTGGCCAAGGCGGTGGTGCCAGAGGAGGGTCTCGTGAGACAGACGACGACACGAACAGGGGGAAGACTCAGGACCAGACCTGGACGCTGCGGCAAACACCTGACCAGACGAAGGGACCCTACCAGACTCAGTACCTGGAGGAGAAGCTGTGGTCAGGGTGTACAGGCTCGACCCTGGCCGACGTGTAAACGTAGCCAGGTGGCGTCCCGTGCTAGCCTCCGTGCAGTGGGTCACCCGCTGACGAGCAGGAGTGAACTGGTGGACACCCGCATCCTGTAGGTCAGCACCACTCACCAGGTTCGTCGAGAACGAGGGGAGGTAGAGACCAGACAGGGTGCCAGAGGGGGCCGCCGGACACGGAAGGACCGTGGAGAAGCGAGACAGGACAGGCCCCCCAGAGGGGTCAGCCAGGGACACCGCAACCGGCCGACTCAGCGGCGTGAGAGTAGTGCGGTCCCGAAAGAAGGAGCGAGACGCTCCAGAGTCAAGTGTGAAGGTGTGAGAGGCCGAAGTCGACACAGTACCTGAGAGGGCAGACTCACCAGTACCTGAGAGTACAGACGCACTGGCACCTAGAGCAGCAGCCTCACTAGTACCTGACGCAGCAGTACCAATGCCCGGGTCGGGCGGGAAACACCGGTAACAGTCATCCTCATCACTACCAGTCACAACATACATAGCAGAAAGAATAGCATCAAAGTCAAGATCATAAATGGCTACACCAGCCCTAGACAGCTCCCCCCAGCGGGGGATCTCAGCGGCCTCCGGAAACTGCTGACGCCAGGCGTCGGTCAGGCGGCCAAAGCAGCGGCGGGCTGTGTGGGTGCCTCCACACCTCTCCCCCGCACGGTCGCCGGTGCGAAGAACGTAGGGGCAGGGACCAAACGCACCACCACGCTGACGCTGCAAGTACCACTCACGGAGCTGCTGAGGGGCGGGGACGGTGCGAGAGCGTTGCTGCTGCTGCTGCTGCTGGCGCTGACCACCCCCAGAGCTGCTGCGCTGGGACGAGACACTCCGACCCCCGCCGCCACCGCCACTCCCGCCTCCACCACCGCCCCCGTCTCCACCGCCACCGCCCCCACTGGTACCCTCGCCCCCGCCTCCTCCGCTACTGCCTCCGCCGCCACCTCCGCCTCCACCGCCTCCACCAGTACCTCCACTCCCGCCACCACCTCCACCGCCACCCCCACTCCCCCCGCCACCCCCACCTCCTCCGCCACTGCCTCCTCTAGCTCCACCCGCTCCCTTGCCCCCCTTGCCCTTGCCAGAGCGGCGTCTACCGCTGGGGGCAGACGCCGCACCGACCGACTCAAAACCAGTGAGGTCGGCCGCAGCGGCAGAGGCGACAGAGGGCAGTAGGGGGGAAGGAGAACACCCCTCAAAGATGGGGGTGCGAGGGTCACCCCGAGAGGCCCCTACAGCGACTATGCTCTTCTCAGCCGCTAGCAGGGACTCCTCAAGGAGGTCGACAGTGAGGGTGGTGGGACAGACAGAGAGAAACTGGTCCCTAACGACACGAAGGGACTCAGGGAGACGGGTGACAAGAAAGTAGAGAGTGATGTACATGGGAGGAGGGTTGGCGGCGCGGAACTCAGCAGGAAGGGCAGCGCGGTAGCGAGCGTCACTAGCGCGGAGGTGGGTAATGAGGTCAGCGACAGTGGGAAAGGCAGCGAGGTCAGGGAAGAGAAAAGGTAGCATGAGGCAGCTCAGCGTAGCGGAGGAAGGGGAGGAGTAGCGTGCAACTACAGCGTCGTACAAGGCCTGAGCGGTCTTGCACTGACTAAAGTGGGCACGCTCGGAGGAAGGGAGGTGGCGACGCACAGCAAGACGTGCAGCAGCATCGCGGGTTGCCCACTTGGAGCGAACGGCGGAATCAGCATCAGGAGGAGGGGCAGGGACAGCGCCAGAGACAAAGTCAAAGAGAGAGACCTCATCGACCGCATCACACAGTAAGTACAGGTGCAGGTCCTCAATCCAGACTGCAAAGTCAATGGCTCTACCCTCAGCGTCAAAAGCTAGGACATTGGGGGTAGCCATGACAGCAGCTGACAGTCTCACCGGGCAGGAAGGGTCGGGTAGGTCAGCGGCGCAGGTACACAGCCCAAGAGCAGCAGTAGCCCGACAGGAGCAGGAGTGCAGCTCCTCTGGCGGCTCGGGCAGCTCGGGCGGCTCGGGCGGCTCGGGCGGCTCGGGCGGCGCGGGCGGCTCGCGCGGCTCAGGCGGCTCGGGCGGCTCGGGTGGCTAGGGCGGCGCGGGCGGCCCGGGCGGCTCAGGCGGCTCGGGCGGCTCGGGCGGCGGCACGGGCGGCTGGGGCGGCTCGGTGGCGGCTCACGGGCGGCTGGGACGGCGCGCGGGGAGCTCACAGGCGGCTGGGCGGGCGGCCAGGGCGGCTCACGGGCGGTGGCGGCGGCGTCGGCGGCTCACGGGCGACGGCAGCGGCAGCGGCGTCGGCGGCTCACGGGCGGCGTCGGCGGCTCACGGGTGGCGTCGGCGGCGTCGGCGGATCACGGGCGGCGTCGGCGGCGTCGGCTGCTCACGGGCGGCGTCGGTAGCGCACGGGCGGGCTGAAGGCCCACGGGTGGGCGGTTCGCGGGCAGCGCCGGCTCACGGGCGGGCGGCGTGACGGGCGGGCGGCGGGACGGGCGGCTGCGTCACGGGCGGCGGCGTCACGGGCGGCGGCGTCACGGGCGGCGGTTCACGGGCGGCTGCGTCACGGGCGGCGCTCACGGGCGGCGGCGCACGGGCGGCGCTAAAGGGTGGCGCGACGGGCGGCGGCTCACGGGCGGTGCTACGGGCGGCGGCTCACGGGCGGCGCTACGGGCGGCCGCACGGGCGGCGCTAACGGGCGGCCGCACGGGCGGCGCTACTGGCTGCGCAAAGGGCGGCGCGAACGGGCAGCCGCACGGGCGGCGCTAACGGGCGGCGCTAACGGGCGGCGCTAACGGGCGGCTCGAAAGGGCGGGCGCTAGGGCGGGCGCTAGGGCGGGCGCTAGGGCGGGCGCTAGGGCGGGCGCTAGGGCGGGCGCTAGGGCGGGCGCCAGGGCAGAAAAAAAAAGTTCTAGGTGGTGGGCCCGAAGCACAGTTCCCACAGGGGAACCTGCTCTAATTCCATGAGAAGAAGTGAACGAGAGAATGAGTGAACTATGAACGAAGTGAGTACAAATAGGAAACCCTAACTGGGTTGTACCCCCTATGGGATACCCCACTATAGCCTACATAAATAAGTAAGCTATAATGTTCTGACACCTAATACATGGCTGGTTATGACAAGAATGCAATGTAAGATCACCCTATCAAAACTTCTACCGTCTTTACAACTCTTCTTAGCAGACTGGTTACGTCCAATAAAGATCCAGCTGTTACTATAGCGTAGCATGAGAGCTAGTTTGAATTATAAGTTCTGTGAGTACAAGTTCTATCATTGAACCCTTTACTACTGGAGAAGATCCAGTTTCTCATCCCTTCATTACCACCTCCGGAATGACATCAATCAAAACTACTCTCATCGAGAAACTTACCACTTGCATCAGCGTCTTGGAGAGCCATCAACTGTTGAGCATTGACGGCTCCAGACATGCCAAAAGACCCCCAGATCCTCTTGGGTCACACTCTGAACGATTGTTCGCCTTCGATAACCGTCAATGCCAAGCACTTGTTCAAACACGGCGTTCACATTTCGAGGCGTTAGCTGAGAAGAAGTGAACGAGAGAATGGGTGAACTATGAATGAAGTGAGTACAAATAGGAAACCCTAGTTGGGTTGTACCCCCTATGGGATACCCCACTATAGCCTACAGAAATAAGTAAGCTATAATATTCTGACACACCCCCATAGGCAAAGTGGGGGAGAACAAAGGGTCACAAGACCAGTCAAGCAAAGCAAAGCAAAGCTCAGGGTGGATCACAAAGTCACCACACATTCCGAGCACAAGTTCAAGGGCCACAAGGCCAGTTCACATGCAAGATCATATATAGAGATATACAAGAGTCAAGCAAGCAAGAACAAGAGTATCTATAGGTCAAGGTACAAGCAAGGTCAAGAAGTGAGCAAGTGAGGCAAGACAAGCACAAGACCCAGCTGGGTGCAGCAACGCTGATGATCACAAGGCGCAAGTGCCTTGGTGAAGACATCAGCAGTGTTGGCCTCAGAGGCCACGTACGCAAGTCGCAACTGTCCACGCTGCTGTAGCTCACGAGCAAGAAAGTAGCGGAGAGCAATGTGCTTTGTCCTGTGCTCCAGTCGCAGCTCTCGACACAAGGCCAGCATGGCCTTGTTGTCTACGTACAGGACTGGAGGAGAACGAGGCGGCTCTCCAAGGTCGGTCAGCAGGTAGGTAAGCCAGCGAAGCTCCTGAGCAGCCATAGCCCCGGCTTAGATCTCAGCCTCACAACTGGAGCCGAGAACAGAAGACGAGCGGGTAGCCCGCCACGAAACAGAGCCGGAACCAAGGCTGAAGGTGTAACCCCGTGACGACCGCTGAGTAGCCTGGTCGTCAGCCCAAGAAGCGTCCGCGTGCCCAGTGAGGACCACTGGACTGCGCCCTCCAAGCACTAGCCCCATGCCCGACGTACTGCACAAGTAGCGCAACACCCTCTTCGCTGCAGCCATGTGCTCTGGTCGGTGTCTCCCAGGAGCAACATAGCGTGCGAGAATGCTAAGAGGGTATGCAAGGTCAGGTCGTGTGCAGGTCATCAGGTACATGAGGCAGCCAACAAGCTCTGCATACGGACCACTCGACTCTACGGACTCATCCGAAGGCAGAGCTGAGAGCGAGTGGCGAGTAGGCAGAGGAGTGGCCTGAGGCGAGGAGTACGTGAAGCCGAAGCGCTGAAGGACCTGCTGCACCATGTGTGACTGAGTCAGGGTAATGGTGCGGCGTGCTCTGTCCCGGGTGATCTGCAAGCCAAGGTAGCTGCGCAGTTCACCCAGGTCAGTGCACGTGTGTCTCTTCTGCAGCTCAGACTTCACGTAGGCGAGTCCAGCAGTGTCAGCTGTGGCAAAGACCAAGTCGTCGACGTACACGAGGATGTAGAACGGCGGCAGAGAGGTGTCGGTGCGCAGAAACAGCGACGGGTCGGCAGTAGAAGGAGCAAACCCAAGTGCCGCCAGCGTACTCCTCAGTGTGTCGTGCCACTCACGTGGAGCCTGGCAGAGACCGTAGACTGGACGCCGGAGACTCCACTGGGTACCAGGAGGGAAAGACCCAGTGAAGCCAGGTGGGCGGCGCAGCCAGATCTCCTCCTGCAGGCTGCCCTGCAAGAAAGCAGTGCTGAAGTCGAGGGAGTGCAGCTCGTAGTCACGGTGAGCAGCAACGTGCAGCAGTACCCGAAGAGTGGTCATCTTCGGGGTGGGGGAGAAGGTCTGAAAGTAGTCAACTCCCTGCCGCTGACTGAAGCCACGAGCCACGTAACGCGCCTTGAAGACAGGCGGAGAACCCGGCGGCCGCTCCACCCTGAAGATCCACATGCCACTGACTATGTTCGCCCCAGGAGGGGGAACAGCGTCAACGTAGGTGCCTGTGGACTTCCAGGAAGCCATCTCTGCATCCATAGCTGCCTGCCACTGAGAGGAGTAGGGACCCTCTATCGCCTCCGCGTAAGAGCGCGGAGTCGGGATGTCAAGTGCATCCGGGTCTCCCTCAGGGGCTAGCAGTACAGACGCGAGATGAGGTGAAGCGGCGGCCAGACACTGGAACTCCTCCTGCCTGTCCTCAAGGACGTCCGTGCCAAGGGCACACTCACCCCCGACGGACGGAGGACAGGCAGACTCAGACTCAGCACCGCGGACGGGCGGCGCACGGGCGGGCGGCGCACGGGCGGGCGGCTCACGGGCGGGCGGCGCCAGCGGCTCACGGGCGGGCGGCTCACGGACGGGCGGCGCCAGCGGCTCACGGGCGGGCGGCTCACGCACGGGCGGCGCCAGCGGCTCACGGGCGGGCGGCTCACGCACGGGCGGCGCCAGCGGCTCACGGGCGGGCGGCTCACGGGCGGGCGGCTCCAGCTGCTCACGGGCGGGCGGCTCACGGACGGGCGGCTCACGGACGGGCGGCGCACGGGCGGCGCCAGCGGCTCACGGGCGGGCTGGTGGCGCACGGGCGGGCGGCGCACGAGCGACGCCGGCTCACGGTCGGGCGGCGCGCGGGTGGGTGGCTCACAGGCGGCGGCCTCGCAGACGGCGGCGCACGGGCGGCGTCGGACGGGCGGCGGCTTACTGGCAGGCCGCGGGCGGCTCACGGGCGCTAGGGCGGGCGCCGGGCGCTAGGGCGCTAGGGCTGGCGCTAGGGCGGGCGCTAGGGCGCTAGGGCTGGGGCTAGGGCGGGCGCTAGGGCGGGCGCTAGGGCGGGCGCTAGGGCGGGCGCTAGGGCGGGCGCAAGGGTGGGCGCTAGGGCGCGAGAGTACTAAGGCAGGAAAAAAAAAAATTCGAAGTGGTGGGCCCTAAGCAAAGTTCCCACAGGGGAACCTGCTCGATACCATGAGAAGAAGTGAACGAGAGAATGGGTGAACTATGAATGAAGTGAGTACAAATAGGAAACCCTAGTTGGGTTGTACCCCTTATGGGATACCCCACTATAGCCTACAGAAATAAGTAAGCTATAATATTCTGACATTAGCATCATTTCATAACAAGTTTCTGACAACACCGAAGCTCAAGACCAGCACTCTATTCGACGGAAAAAATATATAGATGTACTACGACAATACAATTCCATTCCCCAACAACAAATCACCTCTGGAGAAGGTGCCGTAATCATTGCTCGCCTACACCATGTTTATCCGCAACCTCTCTAAGCTCCTGCAAGAATCATTGGGCACCTGCATGACGGTCTTGGGAGTACCTGGCAACAGATCCAGTGACGATGAGTCGTCTACTGGCATGCTCAATGCCGTCAAAATGGTTCCTGGTGAAAAAGCAGGAGCATACATCAATCGCTGCAGAAACTTGAGAGACGAGTTTAAGAAAAGTGGCAAACACTTTCTTGACGACATGTGTGTAACTATTATCCTTGCTGGCCTGCAGTGCAAATCACTTCTTTGCAC